CCAGGCTGCTGAGAAAAACAGAACCTGAAAATAAATAATAGTAATAATAATAATAACATCCCCCCCCCCCATGTTTAACTCTTCACCCATCTCCTTTCCAGTGAGAGGAAAGCGAATGCTTGGTCCAACCTCTGCAGGGGGAATGGGTTGAAGTTTTGAATACCCCTCCCCTGGCAGGGGGTTGAGATGCATTTTGGATACTCATCCCCATCACAATAGTCAACCCTTCCTTTCTTCTCTTCCTCGGATTCTATTCCAACAGCTGCCCTGCCTCTACCAGCCTTCCCCCCAGATGAGCTCCCATACAGCACTGGAGGGCAAAGGCCCCTTCTGCCCCTGCTGCCCAGGGGGGCTGCTGCTGGGAGGGGATGTGACACCCGTTCCCTGGCACAGGATTAGCAGTGCAGCTTCCTGATTTTCCTGAGGTGGGCTGAATGCCTTCAGCTGCCTAAGGCTGAGTTGTTCCCTGCCTCCACAAGCAAGTGGGATGGGAAACCTGTGCTGCATGGAGCCACGTGCCTGGATTTTGACAAGCATAAACTCCAACCCTCCAATTATTCTAAGCTCTTGAGAGTTGGGTTTGAACGTACCCAGAGGTAGAGGGTGAGTAATGTCAGCACAGGGTGTTAGACTTGTGCTGCCGTTATTTTGGCCACTAGGAATTTGCTGGATTCTGGTTAATTCTGGAGTGATAGCTGACTGACCTAGTTATTGGGGACAGAGGCTGGGTCTGTGCTCCTCTGCTGCCAGCCAGGGATTTCAATCTGCATTTCTATAGCATCCTCAAGGATCGCAGCCTGCTTGGAAAAACAACAGATTAAGCCGCCTCTGTTGTGGGGGAGTTGAGCATTGTCACAGTCATTTTACCAGCCTGCAGAATGACTTTCCCAAGGTGACCTGGGAATCTGTAGGCAACGCCGGCTTTCTGCTGGGATGCTGCCATTGCAGGACTGATCGTCCTGACTTCTGTGGGAAGCAGCAGATGCACCTTTTGTAGAGGGTGGCACAGGCTTGTCTGGTGGAGTGTGACGTTACTTCTGTAATAACCAAATGAGTGTGTGCAGTTTTTGCAAGTAAAAGATCTGGAAGAGGTGTGAGGTGGCTATGATCCAAGCTGTATTGATTTTATCTGCAGGGAACGTCTACCAAGCCACAGGAATTTAACCAGTAGCAAAATAGCCTGTGCTGTGTTCAGGTGATCTTCTTGAGCTTTAACTTCAACTTCTCACCAGAGCGGGAGTTGACATTTTTAAAGTCTGCTGTTTCCTTACTCTCTTTAAGCTTAACCTGCTTTCTTCACTTAATGGAGAGGGTGATCAGGCATCAGAAGGGGCTGGAGGTGGTGGAGTCCCCAGCCCTGGAGGTGTGCAAGAAACGGCTGGACACGGCACTCAGTGCTCTGGGCTGGGTGACAAGGTGGTGCTGGGTCAAAGGGTGGACTCCATGATCTTGGAGGTCTTCTCCAACCTTTGGGATTCTGTGATTCTTGCCTCTGGTGTTCTCAGTTTGACAAAATTTCCTTGTGCTGTTTCCTTGCTGGCTGTGCTTTGTTCCACCATTGGAGTTGCCTGGCCCAGGAGAACCTGGCTGTAACCCAAGGAGAGCCTGAAGCAGCACAAATTTCCTTCATCCATGTGACCCAGGCTGATTGTGTTTGGAATGTGCATATGGTGAAGAGGGACTCCAAGCTCCCCACCGCCCTGGCAGATTTGAGTGTGCTCTGGCTAAACCAACTTCCATCTCTTCAGCTCTGGTGCATTTGTGTTTTGTTTGGAACTGGAAAAAAAGGCCACCTGGTTTAGACTGTAAACCTCGGGGAGTTTACAAGCACACGGGGTGAGCTCTGCTCTGTGGTGGGAGTGCCGGAAGGGCTTTGTCCTGCTGGGATCTCTGGACATTCTCTGGGCAAGGGCAGCAATGCATAGCGAGCAGGAGGATAACCCCAGCCTTGGCCATGCAGGCAGCTCTCCTGGCACCTCCTGCCCCCCTCTGAACCGACAGCCTTGGGGGAAGGTGGCTGAGCTGTGAGCACTCAGTTAAAGCGAAACTGCCTCTGGATTGCTCCCTCCTTATCTCCAGCCCTGGCTAATGTCATGTGGTGATTATGAGACTCCCAGACTTGATTCCTATCTCTAGCTTCCTCCCACCAGCTGGTGCTGATGTGTGAATTTGCAACACAGCTCTTCTCCTAGTGACCCCTCTGGCCCCATCCTTGCTGTATTTTGTTCGCTTCCCTGACCAGCTTACTCTGGATTTGCAGAGCCACGAAAGAGAAGAGGGGAGGGATTCTTTGTGGAAGAGCATTTGTGCCCCCTATCAAACCCCTGAGCTCAGTGGAGCCCTGCTGGAAGGTCTGGCTCTGTGGGTGGAATTGCTGTAGTTCTTATTGGGACTTCCTGAGTGTATCAGATTTCCTGTTCCTTAGTGTTAGGCTTCTCCTGGAAGCTTTGTTCAATAAAAATAAATTTTCCTTAGGAGTTTTCCCAGTTCCCACAGGCTCCAGACAGGTGGGCAGGTACATCACTCCTGGCTGAGGTAGAAGAAAGAGAGTTGACCTGGTAGAGTTGGCCTGTGTGTTTCTGAGTTTTTACTTTTGAAGTTTAGAAGTGCCCAGTCTTGCCTGTTGGAATAGGAAAACATTGAATAGTGGGGTTTTTTCCTCACAAAAGTGTGTTCCAGCAGAGATGGACAGGGATTCAATGGGACCTACTGCAGCAGTGCAGGACGTGAGGTCCCGGAGCTCTCCCGGCGCAGTGACGTGACTGGGCAGGGTGAGGAGCGAGCTGAGATCAGCATTTGGGATCTGACACTGGCTTTGCTTTGTGTCTGGGGAGGGGACAGGGAGCACGGAAGGGCCTTTGCTGGCAGATAAATCAGGCAGGCTGCGATACAAGCCTTTAGTCAGCACAGCCTGCAGCACTCGTGCTGCCAGGCCTGGAGGAGCAGCAGAGAGCAGCCGTAGGAGGAGTGGGGCGTGGAGGTCTGTGTTTATAGACATGGACCAGTATAATTATTTATATTGTCTTGTGCAATTCTCTAGGTAAGAAGGGAGCAGTGAAATGTGTAATAAAGGAACAGTCGCTGAAGGGGAAAATTAGAGGTGCGTCGCTTTTACTGGGAAATTTTTCTTCAAAGTGTGTAGGACTGCTGGGACCAAAGTGTGAACAGAAAGACTGGAAAGTGTCCTAATTTTTCATTAAGATTGTAGGCAGCAGAGGTTCACACCGACTCAGAGCTGCCTTGGTTTCATCTAAGCTTGTGTCTTGACAAGTAAAATCAGGCTCTTCCATTTATGAAGAACTTCTCTTGTTCTAGAAGACTGCCTCAGCACATAACCCAGGAAATACAATCCTCATGCAAATCTGGAGCCAGCTCCAAGCCTGGGTGACTCCTTGGAGGCTGTAAATGCCATTTGTCTGTGGCGCTCCCAACGCCCTGGTGCTGCGGGTGACTCCTCTGTGCCTGGCACAGCAGCAAAGCCCTGGTGCACTGATGACAGGGACAGTTTGTGCTCCCCGACGCGTTCCTTCCACACCTCCCAGGATCACCTCAGCTTCCTCCCCTCTGATCCTCCACCACGCTGCTCTGCCGTGGAGTTCCAGCCTTTTGGGAAAGAATGCTGTCCCCTCTCCTATTCACTATCCTTTACTATTAACAGGAACTTTCATTTTTTGATTACATCTGGGTACGGGGCCTGCCCTGGAGGAGCTAATCCCCAGACAGAAAGGAACCTGGCTAAGTATTTCCTGCATCCTAGGCAGGGAGCAGGCAGGGAGCCCGGGTCTCTGTGGCAGGCTGTGGCAGGCAGGGACCTGCAGTGGAACATCGAAGTGGTGACTGCATGCTCAGGAAGCAGCCTTCCACAACTTAGCTGGCAGGTCTGGAAATGAGGATTAGGAACCTCAGACCATCAGCTCCACTGCCAGGATTACCTTTAGGTTCTCTCTATGAACCCCAGTTCTTTTCTCCATTATAGTCCCATAGAGCTGGTGAATCCCAACTACCTCTGTGACCCTGGTTGTTGTACAGACATACTGCAGCCTTTTGAGGTGGGATGGAGGGGCAGGAAAAGAAATGGGAATGAAGGAACAAGGCTAAAAGGTCACTGGGCTGGCCCATCTCTGCTGGACAAACCACTCCCAGCAATAATGATGACAACCTAATGATTGTTTGTACCATGTCAGTTATTTATTTTAAGGGCAGTTCAAAAATCAAACAACCAACCCCCCAGCCCCCCCCCCCAAAAAAAAAACCACCCCAAAACAAACCCCTAAAAAGTCATGGGAGTGGATTTTTATGGCTTTTATCTCTGGTCTTTGGACCTAAAAACACCTGAGGGTTAAGCCAAGATTGTTAGTGGTTTGGAGAGGCCAAGAAGCCTCTCAATTTGCAGTGGAGCAAGAGCAGCTGATAGGTTTGCTGACAGGAACTCTGACCTCTCCTGGGCTCTAATCCCCAAAGTGTCCTCTGCCCCTTTCATCTATGTGTCCGATGCTGCTGGTGGTGGAGCTGGTGTCCTGCTGGGCATGAATCATTTGGGGAAAGTATTTCCAGGAGCCAGGAAACCCAGAGGCACAACGGGATGGGAGGGTGATCCCAGACTCCAGAGCCGGCAGCACTGACTCACTCGCGGTAGGACAGGGCAAAAGGAAAAGCACCAGGTCATGTGCTGCTCATCTGCAATGCAAATCAATGGGGTGAATTCTTCTACAGCCAGCCGTAGAGCTGGCAATCCAAGCTTTCCTGCCAGGAATGACAAGGGATTAGTGGCAAGTCCTGAAACACAGGGCGAGATGGAGGGTTCTTTAGGAGCTGTAGCAGCTCCTGGCCCCAAGGCTGTGGAGCCGAGAGAGAAGAGCCAAGGAGCGGAGCTTTAATAAGTCGCAGTGGAGCGGGACAGAGGGGAATGGGAAAGGATCTCCCCAAGGTTCTTGCCCAAGACCCAGCACAACTCAGTGCCCAGGTGTGACTCTGAGCTCTTTCTCTCTCATTCCCTCTAGGGACCAAGAAAGAAGACAAAGAGGAGAAGGTGAGATGGTCCCAGGAGGCTCTGCTTTCGGCATATGTCGTTTTCCGAGGCTTTTCTGTGCCGAGTGCTTCTGTGTCCCATCTGCTACCACACCCTGAAATCAAACTCGGCAGCTTAGGTGCACCAGGCACTGTACAAACATGTCAGACTTGCCTCCACCCCTTTAGCTACTCCCGCTTTCTCCTGCCGTCGTTCTCTCTCAAGTTTATCGGCGTGTCAGCGGATTCCGGTGGCGGAGCATTCCCACCTCACCTCTGGGCACAGAGCAATGAGGAGTCAGGGGTAAGTGCCCTCCCGCAGATTTGGGCATGGACGTTGACTTGCTTGCTTGCTTTAAAGCCATAACAGCCATCCTAATGGCTGCTGTTCTGTGGGATTTGTGCCCTGTGTTTACAGAGGACTGGGTTTGTCAGTTTGAACTAACGTCTCCACTCCCCAGTGGCTGTGCTGCCTTGGCTTAACCCCTTCCCTTCGGAGCTGAGCCGTGCCACGGATCGGTGTAACGATCCCACGTGTGTTGGCAGTGCCAGCCTGGGGCGAAGGGAGAGCAGAATAGTTCGAGGGGTCATGCAGTTTTTTCTCTCAAGGGATGGTTCTGAACGGGAAGAAAAACCGGGAGCTGGATTCCTTTGCGAAGGAGTTTACTTCATCTTTGCTCCTATAGCCCAGCAACACTGTCCTCCAATCGGCTTTGCTGCATGACACTGGGAGAGTTTGCCTCCAGACCCTTCTTGCTCTTCTCCCTTGGAATTGTCCACCACCAGCATTGTTGCAACAGGACTGCCAGTAAGATCTTGTGTTTTTTGCTGCCCAGGGTCTTTTAGGTGGGACGAGGTGTGGGGCTGTGGTGTTGGGGTCTGGTGATTCAGCTGACTGACACTCAAGAGGATGGGGAGTGCAGCAGGGAAAATGCCTTGTTGAATCTGAGAAGGGTGATGCTCTTAAAACCTTGGGATGAAGAAGGGGTTAAGAATTGCTCTGGATGATGCTCGAGAGAGCAGACAGCATGTCAGGAACACGCAGCTCGTTGCCTTTATGGGAGACAAAGCAACGTCTGCTCTGAAGTCTGTGGTATCTGCAAGGACCCTCAGTGTACCTTACAGAGAGGTCCAGTCAAACCCTCCTGTGTGTACTCCCAACCTCAGGCTGCTGTGCTGGCCAGGATCCTCCCAGCACTCCTGCTGAAGCCACGCTGTAGTACTCGTGTGGGGCTGGGTGTGAGTGTGTTTTGGCTGGCTGGAAGCTGGGTAATCTCCTCCTATTTAAGTTACAATCTACGATTCTATTGGGCATTTGTACTTAATTATTTTTGTCAGGTGGTAACCAACTATACAGCCAGGTATGTGCAGCGACACAAACCAGTCCTGTCCATTAATCTTTGCTTTCTTCTTTGCCAGGACACTAGTGCTTTAATGCATTTGGGGACAGAGCACTGAAAAACAGAAGAGAAATTTGTGGTGAGTGCAAGCTCTTGGGTGAGGCTGGGGGATGTATGTAGAGTAAGAGACGTTTGCTGAGTCTTCCCCTGCATTTCTGAGTTCTGTGCTTGGGTAAAACCTGAGTCAGCCCCTACACAGCTGCTGGGGAAGGGAACCTGCTGCCTGACTCTCCCTCCAGCCCCGTCCCACGGGAAAGTCTCATTCCTGAAGTGTGATAAAGCTGTATATTGATGTTGATATTCCATGCTGCCTTGGTATGGACATGGTGTGTGCTGTGGGAGCAATGGCTTTTGTACCCAGTAGCAAAGCTGACCAAACAGTGGCCAAGCAGATAGCTGGCTGGATTAGTAACTGTGCTCCCAGATGGAAAGCCTGCTCCCTGCACAGGGGGTTTTTCTGTCTAGGTGGGTGTGAGCGTGGATGTACCTGGGAAGGACACTCCAGGTCCTGCTGCTTGCAAAAGTGAGAAACATAACCCTTCTTTGGTCACAAAATGGTTTTCATTCCCAAGGAGAATGAAATTAATTAAGGAGAATTCCTTAAAAGTTTGGCTGTCCTGCTTCCAATGAGGAAAAAAGAGCTCTTTTTAACCTACTTCCCTAATGTGCTTAGGGAAATTCAGAAGGAGAGAAAAGAGCTAAATGTTTGTGCAAATTGCTTTAAAGAAAACTGGTTAAAACAGCTTGGACTAGCATAGCCCAACTGCAAGTAAAAGCTCAGCCAGGCCCTGAGCTCTGTATTACATGGACTGTGTTCTTGGGTACCAGCAGGGATATGGTGCTCAAGTTCCATCCCAGTGGGAGCAGCACAAGAGTTCTGTACCTGGGCAGGACGTGTCTGTGGTACTGCCCCTGCCCCAGTCCCCTGCCTTCGAGTTATAATTGCATAGACTCGGTGCAAGGGAGACTTGGATGTTTTTAGGGAATGTCTCAGTATGGTTTAAAGTTGCAGGATTACCCTGTAGCTTGAGGACTAATGCACTGAGATGGGGTCATTAGTGCCAATACTGCTGTTCTGAGATTGATTTTCCATTCGGCTGCCAAAAGAGAGCAAGGGGGATGGAGGGTGCACAAAGACTAAAAGTCGAACTCTATTTCCCTCAGAAATATCTCAGGAAATTACATTTTCCTCAGGGCTGAGCCATTTTACTTGTAGTGTTAGTAAATGGATTATTTTGTAATTAATTGATGAACAGAGTACAGCTGTAGCCAACACCAGTTATTTGTGTGATGTTCCGAGTGCACCTCAGGTTTTAACCTGGTTTTTACTGAGGCTGTGTGAGCACTCCCACTCATGGCAGGTCTGCCCTTTGCAAACAGAGCAGGAGAACCGATATTCCCTGGGAGAAGACTTGTCTGTTACGATTTGTTTCCATCTCGGTATTGGCACAGTGAGCAGGAAGGCACTGAGAGTCAGCCAGGTTGAGGGGTTCGAGCTAGTCTGTCTCCTCTGTGTTTTGGGGCACACTGCGTGGGCTGCAGTTTTCCCATAGTTATCCTGTGGGGATAACACAGGCAAACTGCCTTGCAGGCTGCTGACAGCAATTAAATATATTTGTATCTCACTTTGGGAGAACATGATGAGCATAAACAGGGACTAAGATGGTTTAGTGTTGGTTGGAATGAAGTTTAACTCTTGCATCTCTACATTCGGGTGACTGGGACATCGCTGGAGTGTCTCTGCCAGCCCCTGGCGGTGCTGCTGGAGTGAGCACTGTGAGCCAGGGCTGTGAGCACCGGTGCCTCTGCTGGGGCAGGTCTGCCTGGGAGAACTCAGCCCTGCTCAGAGCGTGTGACTCTCCCTGCACACAGTAAGATCTGTGCCGTGCCCATGGGCAGCACAGAGCTGCAGCTTCCCTCTCGTAACCCCTCGTGCCAGAGGCAGCTGGACCCGGCCGGGCGCGGCGCTGGGATGGAGCCGCAGGACGCGGTGCCCGGCGCTGTGGCACCGCGTGTTCCCCAGACACAGCCCAGCGCCTTGGCTCCTTCCCCTGCCATGTGACCCCGCCTGCCAGATGTGGCCCCTTGTGCTTGTCCCAGCGTAACCTCTCGTCTGGCAGAGATGATGTGTCTCTTCATGTGGATTTCTGGAGACAGAACCTTAAATGTTCTTACTCTAATCTCGGTAGTATTTTTATGCTGATTTTGAATGGATCTGTCACACAAGACAGTGGAAACTGAAGCCCTGAATCCTTCAAGCCCTTTCTTGAAGCTCTTTGGTGTTTTGCATGAACAGCAAAACACAGCCACTTGTTTTTAACCCTGATGCATCCTTTGCAAAATAATGTCATTAAATGCCTGTGGAGCAAAGCAGCTGCTCTTGGGACAGGGATCAGTGAGGTGTGCAGGTGTGAGGCACTGCATGGTTTGGTATAGCCAGAGCAGGACACAGCCCACATTAAGTGGGGAAAAAGGGTCATAGTTGGTGTCGTGGCTTTAGGCTCAGCCCAGTGACCTGCAGCACACAGCTTTGGGCTCAGCCCAGTGACCTGCAGCACACAGCTTTGGGCTCAGCCTGGTGACCTGCAGCACACAGCTTTGGGCTCAGCCTGGACCTGCAGCACACA